ATCCTCTTCTTCTTTTCCCCACAACTATGGGTAAATATCAGGACAGACCGGTTTCTATAGCCTTGGATGGCAACTGGTCTACAGCAGAAAGAAATGGCAACCTACTGAGGGAAAAAATCTGCCTCGTCACTCATTTATCGAACGATACACGATCGCCTAAGTGTTTATCACTCATGGCACATAACTGACTGTTGAATCATTACATCAGTTTAAATTGTAACCATTCCGTCACACATCGTCATCGTCATTATTATGATATCGCAGATGAAAGACGACACAACGCCTGTCTTTTATGGTCACATGGTGAGGTTCCCCAAATTGGTCTAACTTAATATGAACGCAAAACTAAACGAATGAGGCATGCACATTGAGAAATTGGATGAACGTATTAACCGTGTTCGAGAGACTTCTCTTTTGTTATAAGTACGTACTCTTCGTTTGTGTCATATATGAGCCAGGGTAAGAAAAAGCTAAGAAAGCGCCTAATAATAAAAGCTACATAAAATGCTAAACTGGGAAAACAAACAAAAGGTAATAAGAATTGTAAAAAAATACCCCCCCCAAAAAAAACATCTATATCTATGCATAGTCAATTACCGTATTTGACAACATATAATGCGCACTTCTTTTTTACTAAAAATATCTTTAAATTCTCCTAAGTCTTATATGCCATATGTAGGTTTAAAATTCGCGATAGTCGGCCGAAATTAGCTACCTGGCAGCTCCTGTTAGCTTATACTATAGAGTAACTTTCATATACCTATTGTCATTATTTAAAAGGCTATTATGCAAATTAAAAGTGTTACCATTGATAATGTTCATTATATTAATTTTATAACGTTAAATATTAGTACTTTGTTTTACTAAAATTATATGCAATAAATTCAAATTATATATTTGTAAAATATATTTGTTTCATTAATATTTTTCTTGCGATAACTTCCGGTTACAGTGGAATAAATAAAATCAGAATTTTTATATCCTAAGTATTCCACCGTAGGGTGGGCACCTCGAGGTGGTGTAAAGTCTAGCAAGCTTCTCTGGCTAGAACAATTACAACGTAGTAGTGAGTTCGATTCTCATGAGGTGCCTCTTATTTTCGACCTTGTGCCACATCCAAGCTACGCTTGGAAAATCACGATTCCACTAAGACGTTTACAGGATCATATAAAAGAAAATTTTTGACTGAATTTTAATGGTCACTGTACTGTTTTGCTCAACTGTAATAATTGCTTGATTTTTATTTTGTTTTCTTACCTTTGGATATAATAAAGTTTTTATAGGCTCGTGTTTTTTTTCCTATTTTTTTTCGTTTAATTGTAATCAAGGCTTGTTTAACCAAAATAATACCTCATAAATATAACTTAGGCTGTACCATTTACAAATAATTTTACTAATTACTAATTTTTTCTTGATTTGCTATGCTGAAATTGGAGTGCGTCTTATACACCCATGCGTCTTATATGCCGTCAAATACGGTAATTGAAACAATTTAGTATACCAGGAAAGCTTTCTACATCATGATGCAGCGCCTGTAATAGATTGATTACAAAGCCAATCAGTAGGTATTCTCAGCTCCATAATCTTACTCACCATGCCTTTGGTTCCTTGTTTGTCTGCACACCATTTAGCAGGTGTGTAGTTTTCAAAACACCTTTACTAAATATAAAACAACTACATTTTGTGTTGTTTTTTTTCTCCAGTTTTTCTGGGTTTTTTTTCACTTCTATTAACAGGGTTTCCCTTTTTTTCTTATCCCAATATCTTCGTTGTCGGCTTTATCTGGTATCCAATAATCTAATTTCTCCTCTATTAATCGCTTCCTTTATGATGATTGTGTTGTTGACTATATTTTCCGCCAACGTGCAGGTTATGGTACTATTTCACCAAAACCTGTTCCCGTCATCCATTCCTTCTAGCCTTATGGTTTTGCAAGCGTTGATTGAAGGTAAAAGAAAAATCAGAGGAGAAGAATGTGCCGATGGCGTGAATTTGCTTCAAATAAACCTCAGATTGCCAGGAAGTGACTCACACATTTGATTTCATGACCTTCCTCTGTGGTACATACGGAACGAGACATGCAAAATTCAAGTATGATACTGCAACGGGCTGCCCCTAAATCTGTTATAATTTCGAGTGGCGCCTTCTGTAGTATGTCCATCATGCGTAGCCCTTTTCATCTGTTAGTTCAACCGTTGAGATCTGCTGCAATCATCATACGTTTGTTTCACCGTTGGGGTTCTTTGCAGTTGGTTGTGCTTAATCCCTATATATCGCGACGTTTTATGTGTTGTAAATAAATATCGTAACACCTTACGACTGATAAATCTATATCCCAACACTTTACAACTGACAAATCTATCTATATCACAACACTCTATGATTGAAAAAATTTTCAGCTTTTTCTGTTTTCTTTTCCTTTTTTTTTTTAACGGGATTTTTCTTTGTTTACCCTTATATCTTCGTTGTCGGTTTTATCTGGTATCCAATAATTTAATTTCTCTTCTACTAATTGCTTCTTTTATGATGATGGGGTTGTCGACTACATTTGCCGCCAACGTGCATGTTTAGGACTTGTTTCACTAAAACCTTCTCCCATCATTCATTCCATCTAGTCGTATGGCTTTGCAACTCTTGATTGAAGGTGAAAGAATAATCAGAGTAGAAGAAAGTCGTCAACTCCATTTTTTCACACAAGTGTAGCATACCAGTCCTCCATCTATGCCAGCGAATGCGGAACAGTCTCTTCACAGATGAAGAAGATACTTGAAGTAATGGAAATTTAGTTCTACGGATGGATGCTGAGATTACCATAAACCGAATTTGTGAACAACGACAAAATTTTAAATAAAATGGGAGCAAGAAGGTGACTTATGATTAACGTCAGAAAGCGGCTGTAGAAATTTCTACGGCGTATAATGAGGAAAGAGGACTTGGAAAGCATTATACTCACAGGACAGATTTTGGCAAGAGGAACAAAAGAAAACAGCCTATCTAGTGAGCTTGAGTAAATGGATGATATAATGGAGGGATAACAAAAAGAAAAGATTTATTAAGAGCTACAAAAGAGAAGTTGTGGAAGGCAATGATCATCTACGTTCTGAAGGGACATGACATAGAGAAGAAAAAGTGCCGTTGCCGAAGACAAAAGAACAGCTTTTTAAAAATGTTTTGACCAAAGCTTCATTTACTTATTTTCTTCTGGAGGAGGGGGGCATATTCTTTCATTTTTAGTCCAACGATTTGTTAGTTACGAAGAGAAAACAGCCCCGCTTCCTTACTACAAAAACTATAAATTAAGGGTTTTAACAGGCAGTTAAAAATCCGAACGCTCACCGGTTTAGCGAAAGATACATTTAAAAAGCTAAACTAAGAAACAGAAAACATATCACAAACAAACTAGAGATTGTTGGATTGCTGGCGCTAGACAATCTTCCCACAGATGAAAGAAAAATGGAGGCAACAGAAATGTGATTCTACAGAAGGATACTGAGAATTCAACGAAGGGTTCAAGTAAGCAACGAGAAAGTCTCAAAGAAAATCACAACAAAGCGTACCCAGAATCAGAAAGAGACAGAGGGAATTTATTGGACACATAATGAGGAATATATGCTTGGAAAACTTAACCCTCACGGGGCATAAAGTGGGCAAGAGAAATAAGGGAAGACAGCGAGCCACCTAGTCTTGTGTCAATGTATGGCACAAGAGAGGATAGAGGGGCTTGGAAAAAGGAAGAAACATTGTTGAGATCCACAAAGGGCAAGAATTTATAGAGAGGCATGATCTCTCATGTCCTGAAATGACGTGGTACATAGAAGATGATAAAACTACCCACTCATTATTCTTAATTGTGTCGTTTTAGAATTATACGAACGTCTAATGATTGAGAAACCACGTGACGATTCCATGTGTCACCTTAATACCTAAATGACTTTTCGGATAGGCTGTAAGTCAGACAAATCTTTTGCCTCTGGGGAGAGTGGTGAACCCATGACAAGCTTCAACGTGATAAAAAAAAGAATATTTCTTGCTATAAAATCGTGGAGGATATTGTATGATTTTGCGCACAATCATGATTCTGAACAAGTTTTGGAAAGTTGTCATCGTTAGCAATTAGACCCCAAACTGAACAATGAAGCAAACAATTCCACGCCGATATGAATATAAATCCTGAAAGCCTTGGCATTAGCACAAGATGGATGAATCTGCAGTATAAGTGGGAGAAGACTGAAACGAATTATTTCATTCAACAGGAGGAGGAAAATGTCCAGTTGCAATTAATGCGTGCGTTTTCATAAGACCAGAAAAGATGCGATTCGAATGCACGAAGAAAAGTTGATTTTCATATGCTGATTACGAAATGAAGAAGGCGATAAATAACGGAGGCTTTTCTTTATTTGAATTAAAAGCGCTTAGTTATATTAACGCCATGTGTTTTTCTGGAAGCGGGCGATCATGTGTCTTTACATATTCCTTTCAATTATTAGCTTTTAATTTCCATGGCTTATCGAAAAAAAACATAATAGACTACCCTCCTATTGTCTTACTGTTTTTGGTACAGACAATTCTACCCTGTGAATTACCATGGTCTATTTTGAAAGATAGCGGAGTACATTTCCGTTGCCTTCTCCCCACACTAGTTATTTTCCTAGACTGGTTGCCAGCTAAGGCTATATATTCCATTTTACCGCTTGACTTGCCATGTCTTTTTGGGAAAGATAGTTATTTATTGATTCATTTCCTACGACCTACCAACACTTTGCAGGTTATTTAAAGCCAGAAAATATTTTTAGATTGTAAGAATATTTTTTTAGATACTAATGACTTATTGTTACAAGTATTACTAATTAACCCATATCGGGGTGTACAGAGGTGAATTTTTACCTTTCCCAAGTGTATTTGCACGTAAGTGAATATAACGAACCCAACGGGAATTGGATCTCGGCTCTCCCATGAACAATTCCAAGCCATTATCCATTAAACCACCCGCACAGCTAAGCTTACCGCACCTGATATCCCCAGCGGTCACCCATCTAAATACTGACCAGGCTCGACGTTGTTTAACTTTGGTTATCGTACCGGAACCGGTCTTTCAAAGTGATGTGGCCATAAACCGGAAAAATAGTACTTTGAAACCATTTTGCTGTCTTTCGTAAGAATCCATGACAATTCATAGTGTAGATTAGAATATATAGCCTCGGCTGGTAGCCTGTCTGGGAGAATAAGTGCTCCAAACTGAAAAACGTTGCCTTTTCACGGTTTTGACTTCGGGATCGTCATTCTTCTAAAATGGCTACCAGTCAAGGTTTGAGTCCAGTCTACCCTGGGGACTATATTGGAGTATTTTTTTTCTGTTACCACTTCAAGTGTCTGAAGCACAGAATATCTCGACTTGTACATCAGCTTTCACTGAAGGCGAAAGTCCAATCTACCCCATTGTTTAATAGGCGTCACAGGATCTAGAACATAATATTGTAAATTTTGTATTGTAATGTCGCAAAGAATTCCCAGTATGAATACAGGATACAAATAATTCTATAAAGTAATTAACATCTAGAACCTGGTAGGAGGTAACGTATTTTACGACATTAAAAACGCATCGTTTTCAAAGAAAAGCTCATTAGGTATTTTTTTAATATGTATTAATGTATTGAACGTATCTTTTGGTGCGCGTCTGCTCGCAAAAATAAATATGTTATTAATTTCATTGAAGCACATATCAGCTTCTAATGAATAAAATAAGACTGTAATTTCGAAACGTTGTCACGTGAGCAGGGGATAAAGAATAACTAATGGAAAGGGGTGTTGCCTTCGTTGTTATGGCAACGTTACTTAGTTGGTGATCATGTGTACACCCACATTACAGGAATCTATCCAGCTTGGTTAAATTTTCAAGACATTAATAAGAGGCAAGAGAAAAGTTAACCTTGTTCACTGAGAGAAATACGATAGTTTTATGCCTTTAATAATCTAGACAATCCAGCCAGTAAAATTTGGAAGTTATAAATTTTCATGTAGTACGTATATGCTGCTATTTTTTTTTTAGATGCTCGTAGGGCACACTTGAAAATAAATCTAACCCCAAATGATTCTGTTATTTTTAGCATTGTGTTTCTACTAAAGATAGGAAGTACTTTCCTTTGTCTCGATCGTGAAAGCGATATCTTTAAGCCGTTATATTTGGCTAGAAATGCTGTTTGGAAAGTACAGTCGTTGTTTCGTCGTAAGCCGTCGCGGTTGTGTTGGTACATTAGTCTATACAGATATCTTCAGGCTAATACATAAATGTCCCACTGTCTTTATGTCTTGCTGAAAGTCAGATCAGCCGTCTTTTCATCAGTAGGTATCTGTTCTTGTAGTAAAACATAGCGCAACGCATACGATCTACATTGGTTCCTTTTATTGTCTCCAGTACGGAAATTGTGCCGAGTACTAGCTAATGACGGAGAAGGTGACGTGATTGAGAAAAAACTCCCCTGTGCTATTAAAGACACATACCCTAGGCACCGAGGATTCTCCATGAAAAATTTTGAAGGAAGAAATCTCATGGTCTCTGTAATTGCTGATTCGCCAATTCACGGGTCAATGGAAAGGCACCACCACGTCGTTTCTTTTCGTGAGTCTTGGAAACATTAACTGAAACAATCAAAGATATCGTATTTCAGACATGCGATATATTTCAAACATCCTGTTTGATTGTTTAATAGTTAGATCTTAACTATAAATCATTCCCCTTTATATTTTCACAAACAATGTTTCCCTGAGCGCTATGCAATACCGATGATGCAATAATAGTAATAAAGTTTCACTTGACGTTGAGACTGAAATCTTTAAATCATCTTAATCATGTTCCAGAATTCAACACTAAATATCTCAGCTCTATGATGGATGTCAGAAACGAAGTGCACATTGCAAATCAATTTGGAAACAAAATAATAATCCCGAAAACCCGCACATCTACGCGTTCTGTGTATGACGATAAACTACATCCGTGTCCTGGGTAAGACGATAAACTATGTCCAACAGTAAGACCTCTGATAATACGTTTTTGAAAAAATAATGTTGCTAGCTGTACGCTTTTGGAAAAATAATAATATTACCAGCTATACGTTTTTGACAAACATATATTACCAGATATACGTTTTTGAAAAAATATTACCAGCTATTTATGAATAAAAATGACAATAGGAAAACTGGTAATTGCTGACGCGTTTCGTCCAATGTGGACTTTATCAAAGCAAAATACGAAAATGAAATTAAATGAACAAAGTAACTAATAAAAACAAAAACAGAATGTACCTAGCAACTGGAATGTAGAGAAACGCTATTTTCATATTTTTTAACTGAAAAATAACGTCAGAGATTGTCACGTGTGGAGAATATTGTCATTATATCTGTGTTCATGTATTCAACCATTTTCTTTTAATTTTATGAATCTGTTGTGCATATTTGTTTGTAAGAGCATTAATTTTGTTAAGAAAGGTGAAATAGGGAAAAAGCCTGGGCGTAAATTAATATTTGGATAATTTTCTATGGCGGCACTCTCCAGAATTTTCCTTCTGAGTGAGTTATTTTCTTTTTTTATGAGTGTAGCATTTTTAAAATAAAAATTATGGTTGTATTTATTTCTATGTATGACTATTGCATTAGCTAAGTTGTTTTTTGTGAGGTCTCTTTTGTGCTCATAAATGCGTTTTTTCAAACTTCTACTTGTTTCTCCAATATATTGGGAGGAGCAGTTTTGGCAATTTATTTTATAAATGCCTGCTTCAGAAATATTAGTGCTATTATTGTTTGAAGATCTTAGTATATCTATAATGGTTTTGGAAGTGTTTGTGACTATTTCAAGATTATTTAGATGGGATAGGTTATTCTGGATCGTGGACGTGGCAGAATTGGTCGGTAGTATTTTGTATCTGTTTTCATGTGATTTACTATTGCGGATTGTGTTATTAGTTTTGTTTCGTTTGTATATTTTGTATGCCTTTCTTCTTGCATTTAAAGAAGAAACATACATAGAAAACACATTCAAAAACCTACAATACCAATATCATTTAATCCACAATGCAAGAAGAAAGGAATATTGTCTTCTCTACCGATTAAATCGGATAAATTTTCATATCATTACCAGCTATACATACTTGAAAAAATAACATTACCAGATATACATTTTTGAGGAAAAAATATTAACAGAAATGGATTTTTGACAAAACAAAAATATTATCAGAAAAAAAAGTTTGTCGTCATTATATGATCCATTGAGGTTGATATACCGTAAAGCAAAATAAACCAAACCGCACATTTACAGAAGTATCCCAATGTGGCGAAAGCACGAATGATTGATTGATTTAATTTTTTATGGCTTATCAATCCTTTGTGAGTTATTTAAAGCCGTAACATTTTGTCTAATACGAATCTTTTTTAGGAGTGAATATTGCATTAACAATTCTTGGGGAATAACAACAGTTTGTCCAGCAATAACTCCTACCATTTAATCCATAGCTGGGCGTATAAGATGGATTAATGCTGTTCTCACAGGTATTTGCACTTAAATGAATCTAAAAGGATCAACTGGAGCTCGAACTTGTCTCTTCGATTTCTTATTCCGAGCCGCTAACCATTTCACCACCTACACATCTAAAAGTAGTAATATTTTGCTAAATAGATCAGTATAATTCTATAGAAGTATATTCCTCACAAACCAATTTGGATTTTATTTTGAAAAGGGGTGACATGTTGGTATATATGTCAACATATTTATGCAATAGGATACTTATCAAATAGATAATTGTACACCTGCAATGTAGATATTACAGCAGAATATAATCGCATTGGATGAGACTTCATTTTCTCGTTCATAAATGGTGTCGTCCAAACTTCGCCTCCACTTTCATCTGCTGGAAGAAAATGTGTCGATCAAGACAGACCTATGTTCGGGTACTTATCGAAATGTATCGGGATTGTTACCATGGTAGCGGAGCTAAAGTATGTAGAGCGAATCCGCTTGAACTCTATCGCGCATGCGCAATAAGTTATTAAGTTCTGGTTCACTTCCATTTTTTTATAGCAATGCTTGGAAAGAAAGTATGGGGAGTGAGCTCGAATCGTCACACCAGAGTTTCCATCAGTGACCATAGCTTGTGCAGCAGTTTTGGCCAAACAAAACATTCAGAAGGTCCGAAAACCACCATAATCCACCTACCTCGAACCTTGTGAGTTTTTCCTCTTTCCAAAAATAGAATCCCACTTGAAAGGAACAAGATGTCGAGGATATCCAAGAGGAAGCAGCTGGTCGCTATTCCAAAAAAGGAGTTCAAGGAAATCTTTCATGGAAACGACGCAGGATAAAGGAGGACCGATTCGAAACGCTGAATGGACATGGTAATAAATTAGATTTGACACAAGGCCGAATGTACGGAGCACCCAGAGTAGGTCGAACTCACAAAAAACTTGTTAGCCATTAAACCACGTCGAAGTGCCTTAAAATGATTTTCTGAGCGTAGCTTAGATGTGACACAAGGACGAAAGTGTGGAGCACCCAGTGAGAATTAAACTCATAACTCATTTATAATTCAACATGTGAGATAAGCTTGTTAACCATTACATCACATTGAAAAGCCCATACTGAATTGATATGTGTTGTAGTTTTCTTTTTATGGCACAGGTCAATTAATTTTTGATCAGTTCTCGTATATGTGATGCAAACATCAAAAAATGGCTTATCCTGAGACTTCTCAGGAGTACAAGGAGGAAATCTGTGTCCCAGTGGGATTATTACTCATTTCTAAAGTATGCTTTACAAGTTTGTCAACATAGATGTGAAGAAAATATTTCAATATAACGAGGTTCATGGCAAACAGATGTATTAATAGAAAACAACGTTCTTGTTTTCTCTCTAGAAGTCAGTGTAACGACAATATCGATCTATGCTAATGACATAGGCAATAATAATTGGGATAAAAATGATTTAAAAAATCAATACTCTGATTCATGAATTGGGGCCTCAGTAACTATGATCTGCAATTGAAACGAGTGCAATGATGGCATCTCATCGGAATCGTAAAAATTCAGGACGTGAAATTGATAAATTCTGAATATGTCAGTTACGTAA